GCCCCGCCCACAGACCCCGCCCCTCTCAGGTGTTCCGACCGCGCAGTTTCTTGCAGAACCGGAATCGGCTGGCAAAGAGCAGACGCCACGCAGGCCTCCCTGACTTTCGGTGGTTCTGGTTGAAACCTGAGGGGCTCGGGTCCGGAGTCGTGCACGCGGGAAGCCTAGGGTCGCTACGCGCGCGGAAGTCCCCGCACCCGCGTCTCCCGCAGCGGTGAGTCCGGCGCCCGGGAGAGGCGTCCGCGTCCCCGACGCCTCGCTGCGGGTGCAGGGTCCGCGGTCCTTCCAGGTAAACTGAGGCGGTTCCGCCGTCGGGTCGTTTCCTGCTCAAAACCCCGCGCCGCGTGCGGTCTGGGGAGATGGACCCGGGAGCGGGGCCCCTGCCTCGGCCCTAGTCGGCGGAGGGAACCCCGCTTCCTCCTCGGCCCAATTTAATAAGGGGCCCGAATCCCAGGAGGCGCACACTGTTCGGGGTGCACACGGTTAGGAGAGAAGGACGCGGGTGTCTCCGGAAGAGGTCACCGCACGCGCGCATGGGTTGCGGCTTCGTGGAAGCGGGGAGGCGACGGCGAGGCCAGGACAGCGGCAGGAGGGGCGAGGGGATCACGGGCGACGGGCGGGGGCCGCCAGCGAGTCGGGGCACAGGGCGGTGACTGGAATCCGGGGACGCAGGGATGGGGAGAGAGGCAGAAAAAAATATGTGGCAGTTGGGCGCAACCGAAGATTCGCGAGAAAGAGCCACTGAGGGTGAAACGGGTTTCAAGAGTTCGGGGAGCAGGTGCAGGGAAAAGAGGAGGAAAAGGAGAGAAAGAGCAGGGCGGAGAGCGGGGAACGCAAGAAGGGACAACAGGGGAGAGAGACAGGGACGAGAGGGACACACAGATCCACAGACAGAAATCCGCAGAGGAGAGGAAGGGGAGCCCCGACCTGGGTGGGCGGCGAGCTGATGGGATGCGGGTGACCGAGTTGTGGCTACTGACCTGGGCTTTACAATCGATTTCATTTAACAAGTGTCGAACTGGTTCAGTGATGCAGATGCGAATGAGAATGGCCAAGCTCCAGTTCCTCAGGCTTGTGCAGTGTGTGATTATTTGCATCACCCGGTGGTGACTTCGACGTGCCACCCTCATGCAGCCGGAGGGGAGGGACTGGTCTCAGTCCGTCATGGGTCCCTTCTCATTTCCTGAGATGGTCTGAGGATGGAGACCTGGGATCTGAAAGGACTGAGTCTGTCACTGAATACTTTTTAAAGTATGTTAAAAGCATTGCATTTTATTTTCTGAAATGCATTTGCTGTTTTCATTCTACCTAATTACATTTAATTCAGTGTTTTTTTAAAAATATATTGAGATAAATACTAGTCTCTTGAATTTCTGCTTTTTGTAAGTAGTCATTAACTTCTGAAATAAGTTTTGATGACCTCTCATAACCAGCTCTTATTTTTATTTTTTATTTTTTGATTACGCCTACAGCACCTGCATTTCCTAGGTGGTCTCCCATCCAAGTACTAACCAGGCCCGACCTTGCTTAGCTTTCGAGATCAGGTGGGATCGGGTTTGTTCGGGGTGGCATGGCCATAGACTTATTCTTTTATAAATATGAGATACTCCCAATTACAATCAGAACGTAGTTTTGTGAGGTAGTCTAATATTGGACACTTGTTTTCTTTCCTTTATGTGATTTGGCAAATTAGTGAGCTGGGGGCTACACGGTAGCTGATTCCCTCAAGTCCCTCTTGTCCATTCTCTGAAAATTTGGAAGGATGGCCCACACCAACCTGAAACTTGGTTCCCACAGAGCCCAGCCATTTATGGTGAACTAATTTGATCAGCTAAGACTTTTTCAGAATTTTTAGTACCAAAATCGGCATTCATCATTTTATAGATTTTAAATGTTCGCTGTGATTTTCTGGAAAAGGGGAAGGAATTTCACCTGGCGAGCTTGCTCTTCTAGAAGTTCCCGCCCCGCCCCCCGCACCACCCAAAGGCTCAGGGGTGCAAGTCTGATGTCTGTGGCCCAGTGCTACAGGAAACAGGTGGGGGGGGAGGTCAGCACCCCCGGGGAGGGCTTAAATATGCCATTTCATGGTCCCCTGCACTCTGCAACTTAGAGTGGGCCCGGATCCCCCAGGGATCTGCTCATTCAAGCTAAGTGGTTCCCTTCCGGGAACCATTACTAGATCACCTGAGGAGTTTTAAGACTTAAGTCACCTGGGCTCCAGGCAGCAGAGAAGGGAAGATTGGCCTGGGTGGAACATCATTATGTTAATGAGGTGTTCCAGGTGATTCTAAAGGGCGGCCAGGTTGGGCA